GTTAGACAAGTGCTCTGCTACTGAGCTAATTTTATAGCTCCTGCCCAATGGTTTGAAACATTTAAAATTATAAAACATAACAAGCTAAAATTTCCCTCATAACTCCCAAGATTTTTGGTTTAATTTATTGTCCAGCACAGTTAAGGAAGTACTATTTTTTTTCTCATGGATAATAGTTCCCATGAAAATATTGGATGCTTTCCATAGAGCATGTTTTTAAATAGAAGTTGTCGTATTGAAGTAGCGGGAGTTTGTAAGACAGCATCCAATCATAATGCTCAGTTGTAGTATGTATTTTCCACAAATACTCAATGTGGTAGAAACGCTAATTAATATAAGGTCTCAGAAGTTGAAATAGAGTTCATCAAAAGAACAAGGAAAGGGTGTGTTTTGCAACCTGCAGAACCCATGGAACCAGCTTTCTCTAGCTGAGCTCTGGTTCTCAAACTTTCTAGTGCTGTGACCCTTTAATACAGTTCCTCATGTTGCAGTGACTTCCAATAATAACATTTTGTTGCTACTTCATAACTATAATTTTGTCACTATGATGAATCATGCTGTAAATATCTGATATGCAGGGTATCTGATATGTGACTACTCAAAGAATCCCGACCCACAGGTTGAGAACCACTGCTCTATTGTCTTTTGTCCCTTCCAGCTGTTGAAATTGATTGCCTTCTGGAAATGAAAACCTACCTGGCTCAGACCAGGGCAGTAAGTTTGGCAGAACAGGTGGTCCTGGGTGAATTGCTTTGCCTGTGCATAAGCCCTGGAAATTCATCAATATGCTTTGCCTTAAGTAGTGGGAATTAGAGTGACAAATTAACAGCAGAGCGCTCGTGCTTGTTTCAAAGCTGTGAGCTAAAGCGTCTTTCATTGCTTTGCACTCATCAACCTGAAATTATGCTGTAAATCAGGTATCAGACACATGAATGTACACGCCCTCATTTGTAGTCTTTATTCAAGCTCTGAAACCTGAACAAATGGGATTTTAGTCCTAAACTCCAGCTGGTATTTTCATTAGACTTTCAGGAGTTATACCATAATGAGTTTTAGTTTATAATTTATTAGTTCACATATAAATGAAGTTTTGGCAGGATATGGCAGTGCATGTCAGTAAGGCTAGCATTTGGGAGATTGAGGCAGGTGGATTGTCATGAGTTCAAGGCCAGGCTGGAATACAGTGTGAAGCCCTGCCTCAGAAAACTAAGCAAATATATAAAATAAATTAAGTTTCTTCAATTTGTATGTTTGACATCATTCAGTAATTTCACTTGCTGTTTCACAGGAAGAAAGGAGAACTGAGTGAGATGAAGGGAATATTTGCATCATAGCCATGCGAGTCTTAGTTTTAGCCTGTCTATTCTGAATATATCTTCTAAAGTGAAACCCTTATAATCAAGGGAATTTCTAAGACTACAGGCTTTATTGAAGCCCATAGATGCTAGTCAGAAAAACAAAGGACCAAGTTGTGGGACTATTTCCTGCAATGCTCTGGAGCAGGGCAAGATAGTAGTTCAAAATGCCATTGGGAAGGGTCAGAGTTTATAAAACTTTCTGTTAATTTTCTAGAAGGAATTTGCATTGGCTGTGCTGAGAGGGCAGGATGGCTCAGAGCTTGGATGGAACGGTTTGAGAGGGTAGTCTACAAGGATGAGCCAATGGCTCAGCACTATTTACTGTGCTGAGAGGGCGGGATAGCTCAGAGTTTGGACAGGAAAGATTGATAAGATAGTCTACAAGGTCAAGCAATGGTACAGCACAGACTGATTAGGTTTGGCTAAGTTTACATAGAAATAGAATTTGGTCCTGAGGATATTTAAAGCTTTAACTATCATTCCAATGTAAAATGGTCTTATTCTTTGGGTATATCGCTGTGTTCACTCCTTGCATTCTATCTCTCCTATTCCTATCCTCTAGCCTTTTGTCATAAAGTGTCAATGAAAAACACCTCTAACCTTGAAGGAACAAAAGAGATGGCTTGTTCTGGGGCTACATATGAGCGACTATGGCCCAAGAATACAGATTTGGGTTTCCCCAAATATCATGTTCTTATGAGTTTGCAATTTTGTTACTTTTGTTGCTGGGTACATTGGGTAGGTGGATTATAACAAAGCAGGAGAAATTGCTATAAGCTTCAGACACAATCTGACAGCATTTTTAGCCCTCCAGTTGGTAGAAACTAGGTTCAGTTCTTCCATTCCACGGGATTTAACTAATAGACACAAAGATGTTGGATCACATACAGAGGATGGGAGTTATACTAAAGATGCCCTAAGATAATTTGGCTCTGAACTTGTGACATTTCAACCTCTCCACATCACTGAAGTTCTAATCAGTTAATCAGGCTTTGTAGTCACAGCTTCTTTCCAGGAATTGCCATTCATGCAGATAAGAACATCTCAGAACTGTTCTCTATCACTGTCTTCTGAAGCAGTCACAGTCAGTGCCTCTATAACTTCATTCAATAAGTACTTCTGAGCCAACAAATTATGAACCACACTCACAACATACACAGTTCTTATGTTTAATATATCTTCATTCTAGTAATAAACACATGCTCTCAAGAACAGATATTATCTAATTATAATTACAGTAAGGACACAAAGGAGCTGAGTGTCTCTCAGAAGCGAGAATCTGTCTAATATGTCCTAGGTCAGACCCACCAAGAGTTTTCACCAAAGAGAACCAAAAGGAATCACCATGGAATTTGACTTAGTATCAAGGGTTGGGGATGAGGACAGCGGTTATTGGATGAATACTTTCAGGACCCAATGACTCTGACTCATCAATTAAAATATCTTAAAGGGTGGGTAGGAGATAGAACAGAGAAAATGGTGTACATAGGAGAGCCTGGGAAAAGGAGGTGGAACTGGGTGGATTCTGGTGAGATAAGACTGAAGAGGGAAAAAGTGGCTGTCTCCCTATCATGATTGAGGCCTTCAGAGTCATATAATAGAAGTGTGGATTGGCCTAAAGTGTCGAAATGCTAAGCTCTTATTTTCAACTTGACACAAGCTTGAAACTTTAGGGAAGAGGAAGCCTTGATTGAGAAAATGCCTCTAGGAAAAAAGATCTAGTTGTAGAACACAAACCTGTAGGGCATTTTCTTAATTAGTATTCATGGGGGGAGCCCAACACATTGTGGGTGGTGCCATGCCTAGGCTGGAGGTCCTAGGTCCTAGGAAGCAGGCTGAGCAAGCCAGTAAACAACATCCCTCCATGGCCTCTCCTGCCTCCACGTTCCTGCAGTGACTTCCTTCAATGATGGACTAAGATATGCAGTATAAGTCAAATAAACCCTTTCCTCCCCAGCTTACTTTCAGTCATTGTATTTATCACAGCAATAGAAACCCTCACTAGGGCGGAAATTGGTACCTGATAGTGGGGTACTGTTTGACTTGACCATGTTGTTTTTGAGAGGAATGTGGAAAGACTTTAGCACTTTGGGCTAGGAAAGTCACTGGGTATTGAAAGCTTAGTGCCATGTTGTGTAGGAACTTGGAAGATACAACTGTTGAGAGCAGTGTGATGGAGGCCTGGCTTGTGAAGTTTCAGTGGGAAGCAAAGACTCTGTCAGGTCATTTGTGTGACGAATCTGTGGTGTCTGGTCAGCTGGAACTGCCGAATCAGCCAGGGTTAACAAGAGATGAGCACCGCTAAAGTAAAACCTTGTTTTCCTGGACAATGGATGCAGGTCAGCTGGGCCTGAAAAATTAGAATTAGAAGAGACCAGTATTATTGAGGTGAGGTCTTTTGGGAAGTGCTTCCTCAGGGTCATCACACAGAAGCTGTGTTCCAGAGGCACCCAAGCTTGTATCTCCTGCTGGCACCTAAACTTGGTAGTGTGAGCATCATGCAGGTAGTACTGGCTTTGAAGACATGAAGGAGTCATGGAGGATTGGTTCCGTGTGTCACGAGTGGAATTCCTGAAGAGAGCCAAGGAGAGGCTATTGGTGAAAGTGCAGCCCAGTTGCAGTAAGAGATCCCAACATTTTAGAGATGCCAGTACCATGGATGACCACTAAGAGCAGCAGTAGCAGTGGAGTGGAGAGAGCTGGAGCCCAGAAAACAAGCTGTGTGTGCTGCAGAGAATGAAGTGAGCAAACACTTTGGAAGAGTCCAGAGATCATGAGTAGATAACCAGACATTAAGCAGCTATAGTTCAGCTTTGTTTTGATTTGATTGTGACTATACCTTGGTTCTTCCCTCTTGAAATAAGAAAATATTTAAATTATTTTTGATTTTACAGGATCCCACAGTTGAGAGAATTTCAATTCTAAAAGAGACTTTGGATTTCAGAGACTGAACTTTAAGTTTGTAAAATGTTTTATATTGTGATGTTTATATCAATTTGTGATCTTGGGGATAAACAAGAAAGGAAAGGTTGTGGTTTAACAGTGATATGTTTATGTCAAGTTGACAAGCGGTCAGTTGTTTTGGCTAGTTTTTTGCCAACTTGACACACAAGTTAGAGTCATCGGAGGGAATGGAGCCTCAACTGGAAAAATACCTCCAGAAATCTGGCTGTAAGCAAACTTATATGGCATTTTTAAAATTTGGTGATTGACACAGGAGGGCCCATCCCCTGTGGATGGTACTATTCCTGAGCTAGTGGTCCAGGGTTCTATAAGAAAGCACATTGTTCAAGCCACGATGAGCAAGCCAGTAAGTGGCACCCCTTCATGTCCTCTGCATTAGCTCCTTTCTCCAGGTTCCTGCAATGTTTGATTTCCTGCCCTGACTTCCTTCAATGATGGACTACATGTGGAAGTGTAAATCAAATAAACCCTTTCCTCCCCAACTTGCTTTTGTCATGGTGTTCATCACAGTAATAGGAAGTCTGATTAAGACACAGACCTTCTCCTTGCTAGACATCAAACACATTTCAATGATTCCTTAAATTATGCAATCATTATCTGTAGATTTTCATGCAGACATATTTGCTATAGCAAGCTGCCATGCAGGTGTTCAGCATCACTCTCTGCTTTGTTTTCCAGCGTTCCAACATTCCAGAGCCTTCCTGATGAAATCCTCAGCAAGCTGGCCGATGTCCTCGAGGAGGTAATTGTTTTGATACTTTGAACATCTTGAGATGGAACCCAGACTGTGAGCCAGGATAGGCTGCTTTCTTTCATGGCTCTGGGATGACATACACAAAACTGCTGAGAAATCTTGCCAGTTTGTCCCAACTCCTGGGATGAGCTACAGATTTGACTTCAAATTAAAAACAGCTTAATACATCCAACATTAATACACAGTTAGACACAGGCATGCCAGTTATGGGGAGAAAAACATTTCATTGTAGTAAATATGCTACCTTGATGTTCACGAATGGTATACTGGCATTTTTCTTCTTTGCTTCAATTAATTGTTGTTGTTGCTATCCTGGGATAAATACGTTTAGAAGAAGAATTAGTAGTTGGATTCTAAGCATGCGTGTATTTTGCACATATAATTTCATGCCTGAATGTGGAATGCCACAAACTTTTCTTTGAACCCTTGGTGTAGAGGAAGATGAGAGACAGTGGATGTAAGGCTCCTCATGCACCACAGAGACCCTGCTTAGGGAGGAAAAGAAGTTCTTCCACTCACGCAGAAGCTTGGCACGAGACTGAAAGCATTCTGCTCCCTCACTGGCTGCAGGAGACCCGACTCCTGAGTTTTTCCTGGAGAGAGAAGCAGAAGCATTTAGGTGCTTCTGAGTCTTCATTGACTATGGGGAAAACAATTTCAGGAGGATACATGCCAATAGCAAAAATACCTATAACTCCAGTGTTTTGGAGGCAGAGGCAGGAAGAACAGTAGTTCAAAGTCATCCTTGGCTACATAGTGAGTTCCAAGCTAGACTGGGGAACATAAGACCCTGTCTCTGAAAAACACAAATAATAAAAGAAAGAGAAAGAGAGGAGTGGAGGTGCGGGGACCCTCCTTCCCTCTTGGCCCGTCTGCCATCAATCTGAGAGGAAAAAGACAGAAGGGGGGGACAGAAAGCATACACATGGCCCGTGAACATGAAGGGAGGGAAGTCTCTGGGTGACAAACTTCAGTGAATCAGCTCCATGTTATTTCAGAGTATAAGGACTATATAGAATTGGGGAGCCTGGGGACAAACCCTAATTTGCATTAAGTGGTATGCTCTATCACACGGCTTAGTATGTGACAGTAGTGTGCTATAGCAGAACTTCTAACACAAGTCTTTTTTAGCAGTGATCTTTGCAGAGGGTCAAGCTAAAGATGAATCAGGCATCTGATTTAAAGACAGCTTTTTGATAAGGTTAGTTCTCCCGGCCCTGAGGCATTATCCAGATAAGGCTAGGTAGAGAGTAGAAAGCCTTGCTAGGAAGGGAGGGAATTTCTATGTTGTCAAGCTTAGAGAAAACTGCCAGGCTATGGCAGACTGCGGCCCCTAACCAGCCAGCAATGTATTCCAACAGACAGGAAAAGAGAGAAAAAGGACAATAACATATACCCAAGGCAAGGCAAGGGGGCGTGTTTGGTCTTTGGGAGCTTTAGACTGAATTTTTTCAAAGGATATAATCTATATCTAAATATAAAAGATTATGTAACAATGTTTTGATATGCTTATTTTTGTCTAGATGATTTCTTTCATAAAAAAGATCACATGGTAGATTATGAGTGTGTTATACAAGTTTAGGAACAGTTGATTAAATAAAAACATTAAGTCAGAAGAGGTCAAAGGAACTCTTACTATACAATGGGGCAAAAAAAGAGGTAAAGACATAAGTTTAGACAATAAATATACTCCTTAACTTTGTATGTGAAATTTTCTCAGAAAAATACAGATGCATAGATGAAAACCAAATTCCCAACTGGGTGTGGTATTGCCTATTCCAGAACTGAGAGATATAAACAGAAAAAATTAACAGTTTGAAGACAGTCTAGGAATAGTAAGTTTAAGACTGTCCAAGGCTATATTGCCAGGAGAGAAGAATTGAAGAAATGAATTCAGGAATTTGGAAGGTTATTCAGCAGTCCAGGGGACATAGTTAAGGGAAACATTGTATCACAATGCAATGTTTGTTATGTTTCCTGTTATTCAGTGAATCATCATTGATTATCCCTCATAAGCCTTGAAATATAACACTTTTAAAAAAGGCATGGTCAGTTCCTCATATAATTTACTTTCTGGAAAGAGATCCCTAATAATCAATTGGTTATTCAGGCTTTTAGACTGAGATGGAAGCCAATGGATTGTTTTAAGTAATTCAACAGAATGATTTGACTTACACTTTTAACACAGTTCCATAACCTGGGTGAGCAAAGATAGGGGAATATTAGAGACAACGGTAGAAGAAATGATGGCAGCTTTATTGACTGTCAGAAAGGAAGTTGAATAGAAATGGCAGATATTGATTGACTTTGAGAGAACATCAGAAACGTCACTGTTATTCTACATGGTAGAAGAAGACAAATTGAGGATAGTGAGGCCAGTTGGTGCTGATGGAAATGGAGAAGACTAGGAGAGGGGTCCACTGGAATGAAGAGACAAGGAGCTGAGGGAGGAAGATTGTGGGGGAAATAGAACTCTTAGGGCTGCTGGCAGATAAATGGCTCGGAGCAATGTTTGGCAAGGAGTTGTAGGTTAATGGAGTTATTCTGACGGAATATGTGGGTGAAGAACAGGCAGAATGTGAAAGCTGGTAGCAACTCAACATTAATAAAATAGCATCCATGGATTAATGAGCATAGTGTTGAGGAAAAACCTCAAACAAATAAGCAAAAACAAAGATGGTAATTATAAACAAAATGTCACTAATCAGATACATATGAGTTGTTTCCTGTAGCAAGAGAGGGTTGGGAAAGAGATTTATGCAGAAAAAAAAGAAAGAAAATGAATGAACGAATGAATGAATTATGAAGAGGGCATAAAATAAAGTTCTGACTGAATTTTAAGTGTTCACCTCTAAGAAACACAGCAAACTGTGACAATGTCAGAAGCACGTCGTGCCTTAAAACTGAGAAGGTTCAAGGAAGAGTTTGCAGAGCTTGCATTTGAATTCTGTTTGCATGACAAGGATAGCAATAGAGAACCTTAGATGGACAGGGAAAACGGAGCTGGCTGTAGTTCAGGAAATCCTGTGCTGTGGGAAATGGGATGCTGCACAGGAGGGTAGGCTTTCCAGGGGAGGCACAGCATCTCCGTATGTACATATGGAGGTGAGTGAGCTGATGCAGTGGGCAGAGCTGTGTATATCCTGATGGGATATTTTGTTTCCTTGGTGATATAGAAAACAAGGTCATAAACACAATGGAGTAGACAGATGAATGGCACAAGGAAATAGATGGTGAAAGGAAATGGAAGTTTAGAAATATGTTGAGATTACCAACTCCCAACTTGATGTTGGAATTTCTTGTCTAAATTAAACAGCATAGAGAAAGATTAATTAATTAATTTAGAGATGAGGTCTTACTGAACTCATTATCTTTCTGCCTCAAACTCTAAAGTGCTGGGACTACAGGTGTGTACCATTAGGGCTGCTTCCAGATTGTTTTCCTCCACTTTTAGTCTGTCTGTCTGTCTGTCTGTCTGTCTGTCTGTCTGTCTGTCTGTCTGTCTGTCTTCTGTCTGTCCATTTGTCTGTCCTGTCTGTCTGTCTATCTATCTATCTATCTATCTACCTATCATCTATCTATCATCTATCTGTCCATCCGTCCATCCATCCATCCATCCATCCATCCATCCATCTATCTATCAACCTACCTATCTGTGTTTTTTTTTTTTTCTTTTTTCACGGATTTAGGTTCCACATAGGCAGATAACTGGACTTAAGCAGGACTGTTATGTTTCCAAGAGAAGATGACTGATTGAGGGGACAGGTAATTGAGGACATACTCAGGGATGATTGGAATGCTTGATTCCAATCATCACAGGATCAGTGGACTTAAGTCTCCTGAGTTGAGGAATTTTTGGAGTTAGGTTGTAAGAGTGGCTGAGCCTGATAGGAGTTAAAAATATATTTGTCTCTAGGTAGAGGCTGTAGTGGTGAATCTGGGGTCCATTCATAAATTCTTAGTTTGAGGGTTATTGAAGTAAGCCGTCCTATGATTTATTGATCTCTTCCATGTGTGACCACAAAGTGAACCAGAGCATGGCGGCTTTTGACTGCTGTGTTCAAATATAAAAGACATTCATCACAAGAAGACTGGATGCATTTCTCTCTGCTGACCTGCAACCTCTGAAAACGGAAAACTGCTTTTCCCAGTGGGCCTTTCAGCTTTTGCTTGGCTTTGTGGAATACAGTGAAGAGCTCTCTGAAGAATATGGACATACGTACATGTGTGGGTATACATGTATAGGGTGTGTGTCTGTGTTTCAGAGAAATCAAACTGAAACAGAAATTCATAAGCTCCAAATCAACCTCTTTATAAAACAAAACAAAACTAAGAGTCTGTGAAATCCTTTAATCATTTTCTTTCTTCTCCACAGCTGTGAAATATTTGTGCTGTCTTATGTAACTATAGCCCTGGTGCTCTAAGACAGACCACAAAATATTTCAGTGTTTTGTGCTGTACTTTCATTTTCTTTCTTTTAGTCTCTCTCTCTCTCTCTCTCTCTCTCTCTCTCTCTCTCTCTCTCTCTCTCTCTCTCTCTCTGTGTGTGTGTGTGTGTGTGTATTGTATGTACCAGTTCTTGTAGGTATATGCATACCTGTCCATGTGCACAGCTGCATGTATGGAGACCAGAAATAAACCCTGAGTGTCTTTTTTTGCTCTCACAGAACCGGGAGCTAATTGATTCAGCTTTGATTGCTGGACACTGAGCTCCAGAGATCCTCCTGTCCCCACAGAGTCAGCACTGGGATTGTAGGGTTATAGCTGGGCACTGCCACACCTGCCTTTCCCCTGGGGGCCTCAGATGTGAACTCTGGTTCTCACTCTTCCAGGGCAGGTTCTTTATGACTGAGCTCTCCTCACTCTCAAAGTCACATTTTCCAATCAAATGTCTTAGCAGTGTCTGTCAAGGACAAGTACAATGGGAGCAGGTGATTTAGTCCTAACCGTCTGTTTTCAGGATATAAATATAAGTAAATGTACCAGAT